GCAATTGACTATTCTACCCCCATCAGCTATAACCAATTCATCTAATCAATTCTAACCAAAATATAGCAGCTATAACTAATTTCTAATCAAATTCAATCAACAAATTCAAACTAAATAATGAATAACAAAAAAAAAACTGGAATTATTTTGACTGAACAATATTTTTAAACAACAAATCTACTTTCAGATTCAACAACAATAACAAACAATTATATTCAAATCATTGAGCTTAAATTCAAATTAAGCTTAAACGGAATAAATAAACAGATTCAAATCACTAAATTAAATAACCAATTGAACCTCAAACTAAATCTAACAATATTACAGTCAAGACGAAGGATTCAAGTTATCAAACTAACATATTTCTATATTAAAACTAAATCCTTTTAAATTAATAAAAACAAACTGAAGAAATAATTAATTGAACTTCAACTTAAATCTAACAACATTATAATTAAACTAACAATTTCTACCTAAAAAATAAACAAGAAAAAAATGAAACAAACTGAAGAAAATAAAAAAAAGGATAAACACGAATTGGTTAAAACAACTAACCGGATCGGAACGACGATGAACTCGAACGAAAACAAATCTGCCCGGAAACAATTATCGTACCAAAATAACTCGACGCCGAAGATGACCACGAACGGACGATCGAAGAAGATGGTCGTTTGGTGTCGTTTGAAGACGAAGCAGTTGGCTGTTTTGGTGGTCGTCCATGGCTGGACGTAGCAAAAGGCAGCAGCAATGACGGGAGGGCGGTTACTGCATCGCCGAGCTGGAGCTCGATGGAGGAGGGCAGCTACGGAGGCGGTGAAGCAGCAGCTGCTGCTACTGCTGAACATGGAGCTCGACGGGATCGGAGAAGACGACGATGGAGATGAAACTGGTTGTTTGGATGAGCTGCTGGATGGGACAGTGGAGCTGATGGAATGGTTGGTCGATGGAGGCGACGTTCATGGAACGAAGAAGAAGATGATGGTGGTTTGGGCAGTGATGAGCGGAGGAAAGAGCTGAACGTTGAAGAAGAAGGAGTAGCAACCATGTTGTTGGTCGTCGATGGCTGTTGTGGTTGGTCGACGAGTGACGGGGAGNGTACATTATTTTTATGATTTTTGCATTTTGTAAAACAAACTATATTAAATATCAAATGCAAATGTGACATATTTTTTTANGTGAACGGAGGGGAAGGGGCAGCCATGGGAGCTTGGGGTTGGTTTGGAGAAGAAGAAGAGGGAGTGGGGGATGGTTAGGGTTTTTAGGTTAGGGAAATAAAAAAAATGAAAAATGAAGAAAGGGGTTGGGTCTTTGGGGTTATGGACTGGGTTGACCCGGTTTGAAATGGACCGGGTCGTAGGGGAAGGTTGGGTATCTTTGGGCCTGTAGTTTTAAAATTGAAGAAAAGGCTCAATCCGGTCTTCTTCTATTTTTGTTCTTTTCTTTTTATTCAACTTCCTAAATAATAAAGCTAAAATGCTAAGATTAAATTATAAAACCCAAAATTATCTGGAAATACTAATTAACTCTTAGTAACAATTAACACACAATTAAATAGCGATTAACGATAAAATCACACAATTTGGACATTAAATGCTAAAAATGCAACGTACATTATTTTTATGATTTTTGCATTTTGTAAAACAAACTATATTAAATATCAAATGCAAATGTGACATATTTTTTTATTTTTTTTTATTAATTTAACACATTAACACGCACAGGCAAAAATACAAATAATTATCAAAAAAAAATGTCACGAAAATTCAAAAATTGCACACAAAGGAAAATTGTTTTATTTTGAATTTTTTGGGAGTAATTCTCATACAGGTCAAAAATCACGTGCTTACACCGCATATGCGAACGCGCATCTGTATAAGGTCTTGCGCAGAAGTGGAAAAGGGCAGGCTGTGTTGGAGTCGCAGAAGTGGACGAGGTCTCGCATGATCGCACCCGCAGATGCGTGAATTTTGGCCGCAGGTGCGCATGGTATGGGGTCGAGTGGGAATCGCAAAATCGAAATATTTTTGCGCCCGCATAAGTTGTCCGCAGAAGTGAAGACCCCTTGACAGAACCTTAAACTCGAAGGGTTCGTGATTTCTCTCATTTTGGACTTTGCAAACTCGGATTTGGGCGATTTTTGAGAGGGATTTCGAAGGGATTTTTGAGGTAAGTCACTTGTGGTTACATTTTTTCAATAATTATGTTTCCCCATTAAATTTCCCACCTAGATTGCGTGGTTTTGATGTGTAATTTTGGGAGTTTGAGGCTAGGGATTTGGAGAATTTAAATTGGGGGTTTGGGTGTCGATTTGGTGATGGATTTTGATAAATTTGGTATGTTTGGACTCGTGGTTGAATGGGCATTCGGATTTTGTGACTTTTATCGGATTCCGATATGTGGGCCTGGGAACCGACTTTTGAGTTGACTTTTTGACTTTTGATTAAAACTTAGTATTTTCTTATGGAATTGATTCTGTTAGCTCGTGTTGATTGTATCGAACTATTTGTGGCTAGATTTGAGACATTCGGAGGCCGTTTTGCGAGGCAATGGCGTGTTGGAGTAGAGATTTGCACGATTTGAGGTAAGTAACACTTCTAAACTTAGTTTTGAGGGTACAAAACCTTGAATTACATGTTATGTGATTGGTGTTAAGGTGATGCACATGCTAGGTGACAGGCGTGTGGGCGTACACCATAAGAATTGTGACTTGGTCGATTCCATGAAACTATATAGTTGATTTATCTTGTCGTTACCCGTATTTTCATCATGTGTTAAAGAAATTAAGCTACCAGTCATGTTAGAAGTCATGCTTAGCCTACGTGTTGATACTGTAGGGACCCACAAAGGTCTTCTTATATGTTGAGTTAATTGCTAAATTGTCATTTTGTACTTAGTCATGGCTTTTACTTGCATATTATATCTTAGTCTCTATGCCCTTTATTGATACATTATATTATTGTTGTTTGGGCTGATTATCATGATTCTTGAGAGCCCGAGATATTGGAGAGATTGATGACTTAGTGAGGCCGAGGTCCTGATTGTGAGGATATTTACAAGAGTGGGATGCATGCCACAACATGTGTATTTGATTCATGCCAGGATTGACTTATTATAGCGCTTGGGCTAGAAATGCCCCTCCGGAGTCTGCACATCCACAGTGAGCGCAAGTACCTACTGAATGCGAGTGTCGAGCGATTGGGAGAATTGAGTGACTGTGATGTTGGAGTGAATGAGAGGACTAAGTGACTGTTACTCTAAGAGTATGCACCTGATTTCATTACTGTTGTACTTCAATTGGTATATATATATATATATTAAACTTGACATAATTTAACTGTTTTGACTTTAACTGTTGAACTTGAGAGCATGCCGTCTTTCCTGTACCGTAATTCTATAATTGAACTATACCCGTGAAGCTCGCCACTACCTTCAGTCCCGTAGTTAGTTTTGTTACTTACTGAGTTGGTTGTACTCACGCTACACCCTGAACTTTGTGTGTAGATCCAAATATTTTTGGACATGGTTGGTGTTGATTATTTGAGCAGCTTAGGTATTCAGAGATTTCGAGATAGCTGCCCGGCGTCCGCAGGCCTTGACTCTCCCTCCATATCTTTGAGCTGTATGTATTTAGTTTCAATTTTTCATAAAAAATATTTTAAACTTGTGTTATATAGACGTTCATGTACTCAGTGACACCCTGATTCTGGGAACTTCCGTATTGAATTTTGATTTTTTATCCAGTTTATGAGAGCTTAAATTATTTAAACCTATTTTAGTTCATCTTTCATTATTGTTGGAAATAATTGAGTTGTTGGCTTGCCTAGTACCATGTTAGGCGTCATCACAACAAGTTATGTTTTTTATCGTGACATCTATAAATAACTCAAACATTACTTTTAAAATAATAGTTATCTGATCTTTTAAATTTTGTACTCATGGAGATTAAGTACACGCACGGAACAAGACTCGTTATTGCAATCATACAAAAAAGGGAGGAGAACCGTAATTTAACTTCTTCTTTTTTTACTACTCATCAAGAGGAAATTATTTTGAGTTAAAAACTTTGCTAATTTGTATCAAATTGATTAGTAAAAGGACTAGATTGGGTAATTTTAGATTTTTCACTTAACCATTTAATATTCCAAATATATGACTAATTAATTTGGATTTGCATTTGGTATGGCCCCCTTAAAAGAACGAAAAAAGGGCCAAAACTACTCCTAGACTATTTGATTTGGTACAAAAATGACTTACATCCATCTATTGAACAAAAAATACCTACATCGTTATCTTAGTGGCTCAATTATGCCCTCATTACTACTGACTTATCTAAAAGAATAGAAAAATTTAATGATTATCCATGCATTACCGTGCTATTAGCCTAAATATAAACCCTTGCTAAATTAAAAAGAAACATAAACCTAGGTTTTGATTGATCCGCCTCGATTTTAAACCCTATTAATCCAAACCCAATTTTAAAAGATAATATAACTTCTTCTTCATCTTTTAGATTATGCAAATGGAAGAATTTGCGCCACTACATCAATAAAAAAAAGTAACAATTTAAGCAAGAAAATGTTGTGTTTGGGAATAAAATGAAATGGGCAAGAGAATAAAATTCGGGATCTTGACTTAGGAAGTAATTCATTAAATGAAATCAAATGGATATAAAATGGGTATGAGAAAAAAAATTCATTATCTCCTCTTCTGATTCTAATTTTGAGAAGGGGAGGGGGAGAGTTGGCAATGGGGCGTGTCCTTTTTTCGGGCTATTGTGAAGAAACGATAATGGGTAATTTCTTTTGAAATTTTTTATAAAGATTTAAATTTAAATTCATGGGACGGGTGATATGTGGATATTAATTAATTAAAAATATTTTTAAAATAAGTCTATTAGCTAATAAGGGTATATATGAGCTACTAAGATAACGGTTGGGCATTTTCGGCTCAATAGGTTGACATGTCATTTTATACCAAATCAAACAGGGCAAGGGCAGTTTTGGCCCTTTTCAGTTAAAAGAAAGCCCTCCTACCAATAACTGCGTTATTTGTTTACTTTGCTTCAGTGGGAAAATAGACCCAATTTCTTGTTGGAAAAGTTTAGAACTTCACCAATTGCCGAACTGCGCCAACAGTAACTTGACGCTGCTTTCACTCAGACTCAGCTGCAATCATCTCCTTTCTACCGCGAGCTCCTTCCGATCTGTTTCTCTGGTGAAATTAATTTGTACGTTTCCCTCTTTGTTTTGCGCTTCTCCTGTTTGTCTTTCATGGCATAAAACCCTAATCCGTTTTCCCATTATTATTACTGGAAAAAATGCATTTATTTTATTTGGGTTGCAGTGATTTGATCCCAATCTGCAGTGAAAGCGTTAAATCCAATTTTTATACACCTTATCTGATTTTGAAAAGTGTGAGATTTAGATATCACAATTTGTTTTTTTTTATTTTAAAAGATAAATTATTTGGTCTTGGAATGAACTGGGCTGAATCTTAACTGATTTAGGATTGAGGTGTGGTTGATTGATTAATTTTGTGAATTTCGCAGGTTAATATGCAATTCTTTTTTTCTGATTTTCATGTAAAAACTACTAAAGTTCCGAATTTGTGACTAATCTGGTTTTGAGTGTTAGTATCTGAATACTGCAAGGCGAGTATTTACCACTATATTGTGGGTTCAGCACTTGGATGGATGTATAAACTTCATGGCATGTACCAAATCCCCAAAATTGTTCCAACCGCGGCTTTCAATTTTTAATTATCCCCAAATCTGGGAAATTTTGAATTAACTAATTAAGAATATTCGTTAAGTCTAAGTCAGTTTATCCACATGTGTAATTGAGTTAGGGTTAGCATAGTAGAGAACTTTGTTACTATGCCGCTAATAATGCATACTTTCTTTTTTACCAATATTCTTGTTTGTTAAGTTACTGCAAGTGCTACTTTTGCCACAAAAATGTTCTGAACCAAACAGGCAGCTAAGATTGCTTGACATTCCTTGATAGGAAGAATCAATCAATCACACTAAATTTTGAGAGTTTTGAAACTTGTTGGAGGTTTAGTTAGTGACTTGGTTTATTTCTAAGAATGTCATGAATGGTTTAATGTGTTGGAAGCTTTTCAAATTTATTTCTGAAAACCTCCGGTTTCCATATATGTAGGTGGTGATACAGTTTCAGTGTCCATCTTTTTTCTTGAAGCGTTATAGTTTTGAACTGCAGTTTCTGATAACATAATTGATTTTTTTCCATACTTGACTTTGCTGAATTTTGTTCAAAGTACCTTGAGCTCAATGTATTGTAGCATTTGAATGCTTCAATATGCCCAATCTATACTTGTATCTTTTGTATGTACAATATTGGATCTTACCATGATCTGTGTTTTGTCCATCAATAGATATTCATATGCTTTGTATTTGTGCAGAAATGTAAGTTGGCTTAAATTGGCAACCCAGGGGCTTGTGTTGAAGATTGTATGCCCTTAACTGTCAGTAAAGGAATTTTGGCATAGGAAAATATAAAAGGAATATGAATGTAAAACTGAGAATTTCTGTCAGTTGTTCTTGTCTCAACAATTATGAAATGGTCTTGAGTAGAGTAGAAATGGAATAGAGGATTCATATAGCGGACTCCAACTAGTTTGGAATTGACGCATAGTCAGTTATTTGTGCTTGTTTCAATAAAAATAGGATTTAGTTGAATCTCAATGTTTCGCAATTAGTTTATTCTAATTTGCCAACAATGTCTTACTTGACCAGCTTGCTCTGCCCACTCCAACGCTCAAGTCTTTGTGGTTTCTGAAGAGCAGTAGAAGCACATCTAGCGAATAGAAAAATAAGAAATGTAAAATTAAATAAGAAAGTTAAAGCTAGAATAAGAGCAGTTTATTTTAGTTTGCCTGTGGATATCTGCTCTAATCCTCCACTGTATCTAGTAGACATCTTTAGTTAAAAAACTGTATCAGGTGTCTTTATAAAAAAAACTTAAAAATGTATCAGGTGGACATTGGCAGATCGGCTATACTAGTCAATAGTTGATCACTGGTCCAACTGTTGGGTTTTCATGCTTTCAGGTCGTAATGCGTCAATGTGTATGTATGAAGAGAGCCATTTGGACAATACACTTATAATGAGGATGGTGTTGGTTGTTTTGGCCCTTATCTGGATGTGATGGTGCTGGAGCTTTTAAGATTTTGAGTGCTTTGTTATCATTTTGAGTTTAAAAGAATCCATTCCATTTTTGCCAGAGTTCAAGGTTTCTTGTTGCTGACATCTGAATTTTCTATGTTCCTGCTTTATTTCAAAGAAATGAGCTGCTTTTCGCTACGGTATTTGGGGTCTTATCATGATTCAATCAGCCTTTGTCCTCGAATCATATGACTCATTCTGCATGTTCATTTTTTAACTTCAAAAGTGAATTACCTAAATTACTTTTAGTTTGGTCATGTATTAGTTTGCTTCTTGATCCCTTCTCCTTTATGCTTTTGAAAATAGAAAAGGAAAAAAGAGCAGCTTGTTAATTGAGATTATCTTAGACCGACGGAATTCACTGCTTATTCTAGGAAAACATGGATTGTTATTAAAGTATTATTAGACCATAAATATGGTAAATTTTAATAATTTAGCCAGGTTTGCTTTCTTTTTTTTTTTT